TGAATAATGACCCCTGTCCTGGTGCCGGCCAATCCATCAGTGGAGGCCACATCCCTGAATGGACACACCTGGAAAGCTACAGAATATTCCATTCAGCTCTTCCCCTGGGACCTCCCCTGAAATCTCCACCCTTAAAACCTTTAGGAAGGAGGACCCAGTGCGCTCTCCCTCCCTGGAGCACACCTGTACCTTCCCCTTCCCCTCCTTCTCCTCCTCCCCCAGGCAGCTTACCATTAGCTTGTGCTCCCAAGCTCCAAGGGCAATTCTTTTACCTCCATAACTCATTTCCTAAACCCATTTCCTCTAAGACTTACTTGTCCTACCTCTGTAATTTACCCAGTAAATGTTCTCTTACTCTTTGGGTCTTGCTCTGAATTGTTTTCTAGCCAGAAGCCAAATACCCATGTTGCTAAACCCACATTTGGTCTGAGCCAAGTGAGACATGTGGTGCCATTCCTGTTGCCACCACAGTTACAGTTTAATCCAGCAATAATGAGATTTATCTGAAACTGGGTTCCATCAATGTAAGAATCATTCCAACCTCATGAGAATTTTTATGAGTTTACTGTCAGGAAGCAAAATGTCAATGGATTGAGATATTGTTCTGGGGGAATGGCAGTTTTGTACCTTGTCTACTTATATAAAAACCCTGGGTGTAACATCACAGCCAGAAGCGTGACCAACCTGAAGGAAGTCAGTCCTGCAGGGGTCATCTTGGAAACGGCTTCGCCCTCCCCCAGCTGTTTCCTGGAGGGCGAGGTTTCAGGCAGGAACCTGCCCTCGGAGCAAAGCGTGGAAGTGAAATGATCTGTAATGGATCTATTATTTAAGCTACCTTTGGAAATACTATATCTCTAGATCAGTGGTTCTCAACCTTGGCTGCACATTAGAATCACCTGGGAATCTTTTTAAAATCCTGATTTCTGGGCCTCATCCTCCGGAAATTCTGTTTCTTTGTTACTAATGTTGTGGCCCCACCCCATAACAAAGAAACAGAATTTCCGGAGGATGAGGCCCAGAAATCAGGATTTTAAAAAGATTCCCAGGTGATTCTAATGTGCAGCCAAGGTTGAGAACCACTGCATTAGAGCTCCCTGTCTCAGAGTCAGCGCTGAGACTGGCCGCATGCAAAGGGCGGCAAGTATCTAAGCACATGCAGTGGTGATTAGGCAGTTTGCTTTGTCTTCTAGGCACAGGCGTCCCATTCCATGCAGCTCACCTACATCGTCTCAGCTCCCAGGGCTCTAACGTAGGATGGGGTTTGGTGTTCATGTAGGTGCCCAAAAGAATGCAAACATGGATGGTTGTCTTCGACTGCATACCTTCCATACTGTGTTCCACTCATCCTTGCCACAACCCTGGGAGACCAGTATTAATTTTTCCATTCGGACTTTGACACGGCTAATGAGTGGCAGAACCAGCAGGTGCACCCAGATCTCTGTCTCGTTCCTGCCGCGGACACATTATCTGTCCTCTGAGAGTTATCTTTGCAGAATCACACAGGAGATAGTCCGCTTTAGCCCCCATGATTTGTGTTAAAGAATAAGACTCTGTAACCTTGGTTGCTAGGCAAAGACCAGATCTGGGCAGGACAGGAGCTTCTGAGGGTTCCCCATCCCCTTCGAACAGAATCTGCGGTGACTTATTTTGGCAGAGAACAAACTCTAGCCGTTAACTTCATGTGAGTCAGGATGCATGCTCCGTGTGAATCTCGATTTACCTGGAATCTTGAAATCAGAACTGCGAAAGAATTGATGAACTGTGAGGTAATTTATTTTCTCTCTCATTTTTATTTCAGGGAAGTTTAATCAGCGTTAATAGCACGTGCACGGAGATTGGCAATTTCGACAACGCTGATGTCACTGGAGAGATAGAATTTGCCATTCGCTATTGCTTCGAAACCCGTTCTTTGGAAATACGCATCCAGGCCTGCAAGAACCTTGCTTACGGAGAGGAGAGGAAGAAGAAGTGCAACCCGTGAGTTCCTTTGTCTGCGTTTTGACGTAAGATGACGGGCATATTAATTCTGAAGTTTACATGGAAAGTCCAAAATAGCCAACACAATTGTAATGAAAAGAACAAAAGGTAAAAAGACACACGTCGAGAGCCACTGTAAAGTTCCAGTCGCTCCGACAGTGTGTTGGTGGGAGGCCAGATAAGCAGGTTGGTAGAGCAGAATCAGAAGTCCAGACACAGACCTGAGCGTCTACGGGAAGTCACACCGTCAAGGGGCTACTAGAAATCAATGCATAAATGGTGTTGGAAAATTTGACTTTCCATATAGGAAAAATAAAAGTAAAATCCTGTCTCACACAATCTGTAAGCAGATTACATTTCTCTCCGACTGATAGATATGAAATGGTGTCACGTTATTTTAACATGCATTTCCTTGATGAATAACAAAGATTAGCAACTATTTATGTACCATCAGCCGCTCAGGGCTTCCCGTCCCTGAACTTCCTGTCATCTGAACGATGGCCGGGTGGGAAGCGTCGGGAATCCCTCTCCCCACACAGACAATAACTGCACTGGCAGGATCTGTCTGATGCAACTGTTGTGTAACTGGAGTCTTTGAAGGCTTGCACCTTGCAGCAGAAGGCTTCCATGGTTAACTGGAGTTCGCCTCAGTCAATGCCAGCTCTCAGCGCAGTAGCAGCTACCCATCCTCCACCTCCAACCCCGTGGCGGGCAGCTGCGCACGTGTTCCTAGAGCAGCTTGCACTCCGCTTTCGGGAGCCAGGGTGGGCGAAAGGGTCCTGTCCTCCAGAGATCAGGGATCTGTTCTCTGATTGCTGGTTGCTGCTTCTGACCACAGAGGTGCAGACAGAGAGGCATACGGCCATTGTTGCTTCATCTCCTCCCAGAGGTGCACTATCTCCCCCTCTGGCTGATGTAACTTCCAGGGTTTGTAAGGGCCAGTGCCCTTAGTGGTCTCCCTTTTTCATTTTTCTTTTTTTCCCCTCTTGTTAGCCAGACACTACAGACTAGGACATTCACAAGTAACTGCATCACAAGAAAAATTAGAAAATAAACATGCATGCTCAGGGAAAGGTACAGGCTCAGAAAAAAAGCCTGAGTTTACATCTCAGGCTTATCTTTGGCGCAGGAGCAATAAACAAAATAACAAAAGACAGACAGCCTTGGGAAGGGGGAGAATCTGATTTCCAGAGTTAACACATTATTAGACACAAATGTCCAGTATTCAACAAAAATAACAAGACATATAAATAAACAGGAAAGTATGGCTCATTCAAAGGGAAATAATAAATTAACAGAAACTGACCCTAAAAAAGATCTGATGACAGGCTTACTAAACAAAGACTTTACAACATTATCTTAAAGATGCTCAAAGAACTAGAAGGAGATGTGGAGGAAGTCAAGAAAATGATGTGTGAACAAAGTAGAAATATCAATAAAGAGAGAGAGAGAACCTAAATAGAAACCAAAAAGAAATTCTGCAGCTGAAAACTCCAAATGAAAAATTCACTGGTGAGATTTGAAGGCAGATATGAGCAGATGGAAGAAGAGAGCAATAAATTTGAAGAAAGGTCAACAGAAATTACTGGGTTTGAGGAAAAGAAAGAAAAAAGATGGAAGAAAAGCAAACAGAACCTAAGGGACCTGAGGGCCACCATCAAGTGGATAACATCGCATGAGGGAGTCTCAGAAGGAGAAGAGAGAGCAAGGGGCAGAGAGAATATTTGAATAAGTAGCTAAAAACTTCCCAAATTTGATGAAATTCATGAATATAAACATCAAAGAAGCCCACTGAACTCCAAGTAAGATGAACTCAAAGTGACTCACCCTGAGACATAGTATTAACAAACTCTTGAACGACAAAGAGAATCTTGAAAGCAGCAAGAGAGAAGCAAATCCTCAAGATCTTCAGCAGATTTCTCATCAGAAACTTGACAGGCCAGCAGGCCAATGTATTCAAAGTGCTAATCTATATATATAAAAGCCTAAGCGAGCATCCGACTGTTCGACTGTCCCATCGGTAGCTATGACGCGCAATGACCGGTGGGGGGCGGGGGGGGGCGCGGGAATGCTGTGACAGTAGCTATGACACACACTGACCACCAGGGGGCAGACACTCAATGCAGGAGCTGCTGAGCTGCGATGACTTGGCAGCTGCGGTTCTCAGATGATACACCCAGAACCAGAGAGGAGGGAGCCCAATTCTGGGGTGCGTCACCCAAGAACTGCCTTCTCGCAATCTGGGACCCTGTTGGGGGATGTTAGAGAGCTGGTTTTGGCCTGATCCCCAACGGCCAGGCCGAGGGACCCCACTGGTGCACAAATCCATGCACTGGGCCTTTAGTATATAATAAGTACCTCCTTGTTAGTAATTTCTTTACATGTACATGAATCAGACTCTCCAATCAAAAGACAGAAATTGGCAGAATGGGTAAAAACATAGGATCCAACCATATGTCATCTATAAGAGACTCACTGTAGATCCAACAAATAAAAGATATTCCATGCAGATAGTAACTAAAAGAGAACAGGGGTGGCTATACTAGTATCAAACAAAGTTAAATCAACAAGGTTACAAAAGATAAAGGACATTATCCTATATAATAAAAACCTAATATGCTAAGGATCCGGTTGTCCGGTTGTCTGTTCAACCAATCAAAGCATAATATGCTAATGATACGCTAAGGCCGCTCAACCGCTCGCTATGATGTGCACTGACCACCAACGGGCAGATGCTCCGACCGGTAGGTTAGCTTGCTGCTGGGGTCCGGCCAATTGGGACTGAGCGAGAGGGGCTGGACATGCCCTGGAGCCCTCCCACGGTCCCTCCCCAGCTGGCCAACCTCCCACATCCCTCCCCGGTCCCGATTGTGCACCAGTGGGGTCCCTCGGCCTGGCCTGCACCCTCTCACAATCCGGGACCCCTTGGGGGATGTCAGAGAGCCGGTTTTGGCCCGATCCCGCAGGCCAGGCCGAGGGACCCCACGGGTGCACGAATTCGTGCACTGGGCCTCTAGTATACTAATAAAAGGTGTAATACAGCAAGAAGATATAAAAAATATAAATGTCTATGCACCTAATAACAGCCCATCAAGACATATGAAGCAAAAAACTGACAGAGTTGAAGGGAGAAATGGACGGTTCCACAATAATCCTCGGAGATGTCCATCCTCCACTCTCAGTAACAGAATAACCTGCCAGAAAAAAAGTGAGGAAACAGGACTGAACATCATAAGCCAGTCAGATGCATGGGTGTGATTTTGTTTCGGTCCTTTAAGCTGTGCAGGTGTGTCTCGTACACCCCCTTCCATGTGTGTGGGATGTGATGATGATCGGCAAGTTAAAAGTGAACAGTGAGGATCGGTGCCCGCGACCTGGAGTACTTTCCCAAGAACTCTGATTGACAGGGAAGAAGAGGCGGAGCCTGGAGCTCCAGGGGGACCCCGATGAAGGGAGGGCGACTGCTCTTTGCTTTGGGGAAGTTGAGCCTGTTCCTAGCCTGTGCGAATAGGTGCCTGGTCAAGGGGGGTCATTGCAATGGACAAAGCTGCCAGAGGAGGCAGGGAGGAAAGTTCCGGACCTGGGTAGAGGGACCGGCCTAGAACAGGGTTTCAGGGGGGGCAGAGGGCTGGTGGAGGTGGCCTGTCATGCTGCCCGCCAGCTACGCTGCAGCCCCGAGTCCGCAGAGGGCTGGTCCGCAAGTCAGGAGTACAGGCTGGAGGACAGGCAAGGGAAGAGCCAAGTGTAAGGCACACACTTCCCATTCCCACTTTTCTGTGGGGCGGGGGGTTGGATGGAGTGACAGGTGGGGGAGGACAATTGGCTCGTGGCCTCTGCATTCAGAGTCCAGGAGTTTGCCCCCCTGGAGCCCCCCCTCCCCAGAGCCTGGCAGGTGGCACCCACCCAGACCCATTCCAGGGGCGATGGCCGCAGACTGTGTAAACAGAAGCGGCGTCCCCAGCATGGCATTGCTCACTGTCCGTGGTGGCCCCTGACCCTTCCTACCAACGCCCAACTCAGCAGCAGGCAGGGCAAAGACTCCCCGCTCCCGCCTCGCCCAGCCTCACCCTCAGCCTCACCCACCCCCAGCCTCACCCGCCCTGTCTCCTCCAGGTACGTGAAGACCTACCTGCTGCCTGACAGGTCGGCCCAGGGCAAACGCAAGACAGGCGTCCAGAGGAACACGGTGGACCCGACCTTCCAGGAGACCTTGAAGGTACTCCCTGGACAGACGCTCCCCTGCGGGGTCTCCCCGCCCTGGGCGGGCGCAGGGCCAGAGTCCACCACGGCTCCTCCACACCCTGAGTCAGTGGAACAGGAGTGCAGACACTGCGGATGCCCGCGGGGCTGGCAGTCGGGGCACGGCTGGGTCACCCTGCAGCCTGGGCGGGAGAAGGGCAGAGTCCTCGGGACTGTCCGTGAATGATTCCGAGAAAATGGTGGAAAAGAACATGCTGCCCCTGAGCCTTCAACCAGGTCGTCCTGGCGAGTTTCTGTAACTCTCAGAGCGTTCGCAGGCCGGCGCCTGTACCCTCAGCGACCGGCTCACCGGCTACAAAAGTGCCCCGTTATTGCAATATCTGGAAACCCAGGATTCTTCTTCTTTTAAGAAACAACACTTATAGAGAAGTTGTTTGGGTTTTCACCTTCCTCGGTGCTAACATGATTTGTGTTTAGGGCAGGGGTGGGGGAGACTCCTCACAACGGGGTTGAGGAGGGAGAGGGGTGATGTGTGAGGCACGCAGGTTAAGTGTGGGAGGCCCCGCACCGGAAGGACAGGCCAGACTCACAGAAAGTATCCGTGGAGGCCGAGAAACCCCGGGACCCGGGTGCCAGGACTGGGAAGGGGAGGGCTTGGCTTGGCTTCCTGCTGAGAAGGGGCATTTGTCAACTCCCAGCGGGGGCCATCCGGCAGCTGGCACAGTCCCGTCTGTTAAATATTCATGCTGCTGCTTTCTGTGCCCCTGCTGTGGCCATGTGCTTTATGTACCCCCTGAGCTAAGGGTTAGACTCCCACCTACCAATGGGGAAACTGAGGCTTATTGAACCCACAGTGGACTAGCCGTCCTTCTCAAAACTGATGTGCACAGGGGTCCCCAAGGGACTGCAGAGAAAAGCAGGCTGTGACTCAGCAGGTGTGGGCGGGGCTGCCTGACCGCTCCTAGCCAATCCCAGGAGACTGGTCTTCAGATGGCTCTGCAAAGATCTATCTCCTCACACATTCCCAAGTCAACGCCTAAAACTGCTTCTCCGTTTCACTAAGGTGTTTTTTGCTAGAGAGAGGTAGACGCGTATTTTACATTTTATGAAATGATATCAAATTGAGGATGGACTACATTTTAGATACATATTTAATTGTATCATTTGATTTTTAAAGTTTAACTTGTTTAAAATGCACGCAGAATCTCAGAGAATCACCTAACGTTTTATGTGTTGGTTTTACCCAGCATATTGTGAATGTTCCGGTGGTGCCGGAAAGCTTCCCGGGGACATTGAAAAGAATCAGTGTCCCTAATCTAGTCTAATTCAGAGCATCCTGACACAGTCTTTACAGAAATGCGTGGAGAAGCTGAGAGATCATGAAGAGTTCTGCAGAAATCAGTATTTCCAATTACTGGGGCCAGGGGCCAGATCCGGGGTGTAGGAGCCGCCTTGCGCCAGTTTTGAGGAAGGTGCCCATGACAACTGAGGCTCTAGAGCAGTGATGGCGAACCTTTTGAGCTCGGCGTGTCAGCATTTTGAAAAACCCTAACTTAACTCTGGTGCCGTGTCACATATAGAAATTTTTTGATATTTGCAACCATAGTAAAACAAAGACTTATATTTTTGATATTTATTTTATATATTTAAGTGCCATTTAACAAAGAAAAATCAACCAAAAAAATGAGTTCCCGTGTCACCTCTGACACGCGTGTCATAGGTTCGCCATCACTGTACTAGAAGTTGAGGCGGCTGCAGCTGTCCGTGTGGCACAGCGTTCGCCCTGGCCGCGTGCACAGGTGGTGGGAGCAGCGTCCCAGTGCGCCCAGGTTGCAGGTCTGATTCCCAGTCCGCGCACAGGCAGTGTCCTAAGCGGCGGGGTGGTGCAGGGGGGGCGGGGGCGAGGGAGCCCACTCCCCGCCTCTTCCTGGACATCCACTCCGCACTGAAGGGAGGCCCTGGGCCCTGGGCGTGCAGCCCTGGAGCGCAGGCTGACCTCTCTGTTCTGTCCGCAGTACCAGGTGGAGCTCGCCCAGCTGGCGACCCGGCGGCTGCAGGTGTCCGTGTGGCACATGGGCACGCTCACCCGGAGGGTGTTCCTTGGAGAAGTGATCATCCCTCTGGCCACGTGGGACTTTGAAGACAGCACCACACGGTCCCTGCGCTGGCACCCGCTGCGGGCCAAGTGATGTCTGGTCGGGACTGGGGCCCCCTCCCACCGGAGCGCTTTTCCGAGGGATCCAAGAA